ATATATATATATATACATATATATGTATATATTAAATGTGAATAGATTTAAATATTTCTTATGATATTTTAAAATATTACAAATTATATTAGAAGACGTTTTACACAAATAATAATAATAATAGTAGTAGTAGTAGTCTTTCAATAATAATAAAATTAAACAAAGAATATTAAAATCTATTCTAGTAATAATAATAATGATAAAAATCGTCCAGATATTTTTTCAATCCTTCTATAGCACGCATAACAAAGTATTTAATCTTTAAAAAAATTGTTTTCATCCTATTTATTTATTTTTCCTCACACAAATCCATATAATCCAATTAATGTCAAAACCATTTTGATTTTTTACGTTAAGAATTTTTTCCTTTGACAAAAAAGAATAAAAAGGAAAGGAAAGGAAAAGAAAAGAAAAAATATGAAATATAAATACATATATATATATTATGTGTGTGTGTAATATTCAACAGATTTCTAAAACGCTTTGTTGAGCGTATTAATCAACACACACACACACACACACACACACATATATATATATATATATATATATGATATATATATATATATTATGAATGATTTAAGAAAATACTATACTTCCAAATTTATCCATCGTCTTTAGAATTTGACGGACAAAAGAATGTCATTCGTCGTTTAAGACATTGACGGATAAGTTTAGTCGAAAATATTTTAAGTTTCTAAGATGTGAAAAATCGTAGGATTAATTTTTTTTTACCACACCTCTTTCACGATATAATAACTATCTTAAGAAATCTTTTTTTTTTATTCTTTCTTTTTCTTTCTTTTCCTTTTTTATTCTTCCTCTTCACAAAGTCCATCCTTTTTCTATCATCCCCCTAACCCTAACTTATGTGCTGCATAACAAAACACATTTATGCAGTTTCTAACAAACACTATATATATATATAGGTACGAAATTTTCTATATTTACATATAATATAATTCTATATTTACAGTGATTGAAATGTTATTTTTGTCTTGATAAACTAGTATCAAAGATTTTTTTCATTTTTATTCTTATATTTTTTAATATTTCATTCATAAACACTCACATAGACAAAACAAAATGCCACGATAAATTTCGTTAGTTATTATTTACTAAAAAAAATCATTATATAAATTGTAAAATCATAATCATCTGAGAAATAAAAAAACTATCGTTTCTTTCATAAAAAAAAAAAAATGTAATATTAGCCAAGTAGAAAATAAATCCAAGTCAAACATTCTGACCAACCTAACACGCGACAGACTATAGTATTTAAAAGTTAGTCTTCTCAAATATCAAAAGAAGAAAAAGAGAAAAAGGGAAATATTTGAAACGTGGGATAAAATATGGAAAGAACAAACCCCTCCTCCCCTTTACCTTTTGCCACCCTCACCTAAGTTACAACTTTTTAGTTGTCCCATTCTCTGCACTGCACCTCATTCGTGACAAATGGGACTACGAGCTACCGGAATTTTGAACAAAACGATGCCCACGACTACGACTATGACGGGGACTCGATGACCTCAATATCCTTCACAATACCACCACCCCATCCCTATTTCACAAATGTCCTCACGAACAAATTCATTTGTCCTTTTTCTTCCTTTTCTTTTGTTCAGTTCGTTCATTTTTAAGTGCACGCTTATGGCAAAACGTTTACAACAGAACATTTGATTATCATTCGATTCTTCATTCGTTCCCACCCCCCTCTCTCAAGTTCCGTTTTAATTCTTGACCATTACAACCATCCCCCTCCCCCTTAAACCATTTCGTTAGACAGTAATCTCGTGCAGAGAACCAAATTCACCTATTGTGTAATATTAGCATGATTTACTGAATATTTTCGTGTCTCCTATTGGCTAACTCCTTAACGTTTCTAACATTCAACAAAACAGATGATCGTGTGCATAAAATGAGAAAGAGGAAAGAAAGAAAGTAGTAGTCAATGGGAAGAATAAAATGGTATGAGCAAAAACCAACCAACCAACTAACCAGACAACCTCCCCCTCCATCTCTCTTTGGCATCATTCTGTTGGTTGTTTGTGAAAAAGAAAAGAAGAAGAAGAATTTAATGGTCTTAGAAGGAATGGTCAATTTTTTCCATGAAAGATCGAAATCTAAGATCTTACGTTTGGATTTTAGTGTCGTTTTTCCATAGGTTTAAAAAGTTAACTTCATTCGTTAGATATTTTCTGGACATTTAGGTATATATGGGAAATGGTTAACTAAACCCTCCTACCGAGGAGAGAGTCACTTGCCACAACAATTTCATTCTATGCAGATCTAGGTTACCAATTCTAGAAAAAAAAAAAATACATTTTGACCAATGTGTTGTTCTCTCTCTCTATCTTTCTCTCTCACTCTTACTGTCCTATCATAAATCAATTGCTACCGGTTGGTTAACGTAATTGTATGCGTCTTCCCGTTTACCATTTCTGACCATTTTCCTCTTCTTCTTCTTAACCTTTATTCATGTTAGATCTTTAAATGATACCCCAATGATCTTTTGGTTTTCTCATAAAAATGTCATCTCATGTTCTTTCTTTATTTTTTTTTCTTTATGTCACATGAATGAATTTTTCAAATATCAAAATATCCGTTATGTTTTTTTGTTTTATGTTAAAGGGAGACAGGTTATGATCTTAAAATATCTTAAATGTTTCTTGTTTTTTTTTGTTTAAAAAAAGATCATTATCATCATTTTCAGATGATTATCAAATTTTAAAATTGAAGTTTAACAAATCCTAATAATATTAGTGTTACTACTATCTTTGTGTTTTTTTTTTTTACTTAAATTTAAATATAAGTATTGACTTATAATGATCACGTAATTAATCCAAAAAACCTTTGAGTTCCATAAATTTGATAAACTTACGAATAGATTCGATTGCAAGTGGTTCATTGAATATGTCCAGTTTAGTATCACCATTTAAATTACCCAACACATCTTCCCAACTTTCTTTCTTATTTTTTTGTCTAACCACCATACGAGGATACAACACCAATCCAACAATAATTATATAAAGTCGTCTTTTTTCCATAGCCTTTTCTATTTCTGCCAATGTTGGAGGTCTGGTATTGCAATGAAAAATTTGCATGGAGTATGTTAATATGTTTAAATAATTTGACAACAAATTATACTCCCTCGTGTATTTAATTTTTATTTCTGGACAGGTATTGAAAAAATGAATCAAATCTATGACCGGTGATGTGTAACAGGATCTTTGAAAATCTACCTACAAAATTATTAAATCATCACACATTATTATTAATAAAAATAATAATAACTACAGTATAGTTCTTAAAAAAAAAACATCATACAAATATAACATCGTTGGGTTGATTTGTAGAATGACGAAACATGAGATTATCTATTGAAAAATCACCATGATTGATAACACAAAATTCATCAAAATCATACTCGTAAATTTGTTTTCCATTCATTTTGATTTCATTAGCAAATTTTTCTATTTTATCAGCAGCAATGAAATATTCTGGACCCCATTCACGTATTTTGCAACTTACATTGCGTATACTTTTTTCACAAAATTTAACAAAATTATCTGAAGGATTGGCTAGTATTCCACCACGCAACATGGTAGGCCATTCCGGATTCTACAAAAATAAAACTAATGTTTACATCAGTTGTTAAGGTCAAATTCATAATAAGTTAACAGTTGAAATTACCTTTTCGCAAACGGCAACAGATAAAGCATGAAAAACAGCTAATTTTCTGATAGCCAAATTACAATAATCTTTGGGCAAGCCATTCCAACGATCCATCATACGATACCCATGAAAAGATAAACTATCGAGGACTAATGTTCTGGTATTGTTAGAACAATAAATTAATTTAGGTCCAAATCTTTCACATGTCAAATGATACATCTTTTCCAATACTCTTAAATACATGAACATTTCAGTTTCAAATAATTTTTCTCTCCTGTAAATTTGTAACGCCATTGGTCTATCACTTGGTTCAGATTTAACGATAAATTCGGTGTTGTATTCGTCAGTTTCACAACGTATTATATTAAATTTAACATAACATAGATAAAGATTACTCAACGTTGAGTATTCTATGTTACATTTTTGACACGTGATATTCAATAATTGAATCTCGTCTTCCTTTAATACTCGACACAAAACATGTATGATATAATTTTCTTCCATTTCAAAGGAATATTTGTTAATTCTAGTCTTGGAAATATTCAATAACTCGGTGCACTCCATTTTTGAATTTTGTTTTGTTTTATATTACTTTTTGTATAACGCGTGAGATACATTAGGATTTAACTGTGTCGCGAACTTGACTAACTTGACATTCGATAAATATTACCTTAATATTCAAATTATGTTGACAAATTATGTGACGATTTCGACATTATAACCTTCTCTATTATATTAAATACAGTAAATAAACAATTCGCGATTTGTGAATGTGTTGTTGAATCTTTAATTAATCATTCGTTTAATCTAATATTCAGAATAAATTATTAAATGTATTTAATATAATATAATATATTTAAGTTATTAAAAATAATATAATTATATGTATAATATAATTATATTAATAATAATATAATAATATAGTATAAAATAAAAATAATATATGTATATATATAAAATAATAATATAAAATAAAATAAAATATAAATTAGAAATTATAATAATATAATATAATTATATTAATATAATTTAATATATAATTTATTATAGTTATTAAATATAATAATTAATATAATTTAATATATTTAAGTTATTAAATCCTTTGCGTTTTCAAATAAAATATTAAGAAAACTATCTAAAACCAGTTTTCAAATGAAGGGTAAAAAAGGAACTGAGAAATCTGTTTCTTCAAAAAACTGCTAAACGAAAAGAAAAGATACCAGTTTAATAAAAAAAAAATAAAAAAAAAGGAACAAAAAGAAATAGAATAGAAGTAACACCAGAAGTCTCCACAAGAGTTTTTCCATAAAATGTTATGTTTGGTTTGTTCCAATCTCATAAATCATTGTGCCCACGGGATTTTACCCTATCAGAATTTTTTTTTGTACAATTTCTTTTACCCTCTCCCCTTCAATATTTTAAACGTTTTATTTCTTTTTCTTTAAAAATTCATCCCTAGTATTTTTTAGTTTTCGAATTCTACAAACAGCAAAGTTCTGGATGGTAAATTTGACTACACTGGTCGTATCATTTTTTATTAGGGTTTTAATTTGCAATATGTTTCAACTAATTCTTTTATTAAATTATACAATTTATTGTTCTTCATTTAGTTGAAATTTTATGGTAGATTCAAATTTAGAAACCTGATGGAGAACAAATCAAGAAATGTTGTTCCATTTATTCATTTTGTAGTTTTTTCCAAAGTTATAACTCCAATAATAATATATCATTCTTTTGTTTCTAAAAAAATAGGATGGTGTTTTTTAAGTATCAAATTCTATGGGAAACCTATCCGAGAATATTTAGTCTATTGTTTCGGTTATTCTTTAAAAGTTGAAGTTATTGTTACAACAAAAATAATGTTCTAATATTATATTACTGAGTATAATTTGATCTTTTTTTTTAGCAATCAGGTCAAAAAACTAGAAATTATCTTTGTTGATCCTTTTTGACTAACATGTTTCGTTTCTTATTTCCTATAAGAGAATTCGAAATAAATTGTTTAAATTCTTTAATTTATTTTGAATATACCGAGATAATTATTTGTTGTCAAATTTTGTCCTAAAACATCCTAGGAAAATAATTAATATTCCAAAAAATCACTTCGACAAGTTAAAAACTTAGAAAATATGCGAGCATACTTTAAAACAAATATTCCGAGTAGTATAAAAATAAAATTATTTATAGATTAATGAAAACATGTAAAGGGTAAACTATAAAGAACGTTTTATTATACTAAAAGGGCTTAAGAGTAGAAAGGGTTGTAGGGGTGCTCGCACCAGGAGGGTCACGCTTGTCGTACATGTGTCCAGAACACCTCCCTGTTGATTTCAGGGTTGATCCCAGGGTTGATCTAACCAAACAGCACCAACACATTGATAACAGTATCAAACGAACATTCAAACGCAACTTTCCAAATCTTTTTCTAACTTTCCATTGATTCTTCCTTCAAGGAACTCACTAAGTTTTTCTTTAGGGACAAAGATCTGTCACGTCGACGAGTCCCAAGTCCCACTGGGTTGACAAATTTACGGTGTCCTCTTTAAGAAAAAAATGATCTAAACACGATTGCCGCGGTGGGTGTTCATCTTTTTAAAATTATTCAACTTGTTGAGTACAATTCAGACACGTGCTTTAAACAATATATTTTTTTTTTACCTACTTTTATGTAACTATAAATATTACAAGTTTTATGATAGGCTATAAATTATTACAAATTGTATTAATTTTTATAGAAAATTTGTTGAATTAACTTTAATGTATGTTAATTTTACTTTTTTAAATTTTAGTTTAAGTTTAGTTTAATGTATGTTGAATTAATTTTAAAGTATTTAAAATGCTAAATGTTAAATTATTATATTTCAAAGACTCACAGGTTTAAAATATTCAAAATTGTTTATTTGAATTAATTTAAAATATTTAAATTAAATATTATTTTTTTTATATTATATAATATTTGTAAAGTATTTAATAATATTATAATTATATACTTTACTTATATAACACATATAAATTATGGATTGTTTTGAATATTGTTTCTAATTATTATTATTATTATTATTATTATTATTATTTTATTTTATTGTTTCATAGTTGAGTATTTGAATTGACTTGTTTGGTTGTATTTATTTAATTTATTTATTGAATTATCATAAAACTTGTTGGAATATTTGAAATGAAAGGTATGATAAGTGATGATAAGTGTCAGAGTTTAAAGAAATTTGAAAAATGATTGACGTATAACTTCCTTGTCGTTAAAATTGTTCTATGTTGCAATTAGCTGACACATTTCTGCGAACGAATACTACAGAAAGACTGATTCAGCAGCTATCGGGAAACTAAAACGAGGAATTCCTAATTGACAGGTTTCCTCTCGTATATCTCATACAATTCAGTGGATTCCTAACTGTTCCGGGATAGATCGAACCAAAACTGAACGAATTGAATATAATTGGGGACACACATCTACAAAAGGATTGTTTTCTAATCCTTTAATATTAAAAAAAAAAAAAAAAAAAATTAAAACTAATTTTTAAATTTTATTCAAAAGATTTACTTTTGTGTTTTTTTGTGATTAGATTTTAACAACAAGAAGAAAAAAATAAAATCATTCTATAATACTTTTGTTCCGAGTAGCATGAGTGTTCCCATCGATTAAATCCACCACTAGGTTTCGTATTTATTTGCACGGGAAATATCGCGGCGGGTGCAACAACACACATATACAAACACATATACATAAAAGTGAGTAGTATCCATTGAATATTGCGCTGCGTGCATGCTGAGCTATTCAATTTCCTTGATTATTGTCACGAGAGTTTGACTATGTTTATTATGCGATGCGTGTACTTGGCCCTCATGTATCGAGACGAGATGACGCGAAAAAAGGGAGACAAAAATAAAAGGGGGATTTTGATAAAATAAAAAAAAATTTTTTCTTATACTGGGTGTGTGTCCTCGTAATATGAACAATTTTTTATCCAAATTATTTAAGGTATTCAACAAGCAACTTTCAAACTGTTCCATCATTTATAATTTATTCGACTTTGTTGCTTGAATGAAAGTTTTATTTTCTTTCAAAATTTTTCGAAAGTGTCACAACATATTAGGGACAAAAAAAAATTGATTTACAATTTTACAACGAAGAAGAAGAAGAAGAAGAAGATTTTTGACACAATAAGCAGACATTTAACAATGAAACGTATCTTTTCTTCTCTTTCAAATATATCTCACTGGGTCATTCAATTTTATTATAGAACATTGACAAAAGGTGATCATCGTTCTTCAAAATAAACTTTAGAAATATACGATTATGGTTTTTACTATTGATTTTTATCATAATAGTGTGTTGGTTTCATTCAAAGGAATACTTCGTTTTCTCTTCTACAGATTTTTCTATAATTCATAGTAGAAAGAATTCAAGGATTTGTTGGAAGGTGAAAGTATAGAACTTTCTACAATTTTCTTGTCTAATCCGTGAGAAATATTAGAAACTTTTATACATGAATTTAACCCATAATTCAAATATTGTTATAAACATTTTTTAAAAGAACAAACAACAAAAATCAATGGGAATTTATATAAAAAATCATCAACGTTAATTCATTCAACATAAGAATAATCAAAGATGGTACCTTACGAATCTATTTAAAAGGAAGCCACTGTTATGACGTAGAATGGATAAGAAAAGGGTTAACTTCCTGTTCTTGAGAACGTAGACGATCTTTTATGGTATCTTTTGATATTCCACTATGGGATCTATGCATATGTAAAGAATTTCTTCAAAAGGCTTCCCCCATCTTCTACCATTGTTAAACAAGCCTTTTTTTTCCTAAGTAGGTGTGGTGGTGCTGGTGGAGAAGTGGTGGATGGTAGGTGTCTTAAGAGGTTGTGACGAATTGTAGGAGGGAAGGGTTAATAACGAATAAAAAGGGCTTCTTTTAGTCTCTTATGTCTGTTTTATGTAACCGAGTTTTATGCCAACCCAGCTCCGGAGGCGGCATCATTCAAGATCATCCTCTCTCTGTTTTATATAAATTCTTAACTTGATTAAACACACGTGGCACATGTGAGGTATCCTGACTAAAACTATTAGGCCAATTTAATGTTCAACTTGTGAGTCCTTGAAATATAATTTAGCATTTATCATTTGAAATATTTAAATAATAAAATATTTAATAATATAACTTGATATGTGAAATACGATAGTGAATCCTTCAACGTGTAATAGTAACACAGAGTTATTTGAAGAGACGATTATGGTAGTTACTTGTACCTAACCTTTATCCGGGTAGCGATGATATTATTTAACAAACAAGCCGGATGGTGAGATTATTAGAGTAGTGTTACGACTAATCCTTACTTTTACTTAACCCACCACCAATGCAAAATGCAACCAACCAACCAACCAACCAAACAAGTAAGCAAGTATATCCTTTGGTAATTAAGAGATTAAATCCTGTTGCCTGACACTTCTGCTACTTTTTTTGGTTTCGAATCTACAACATGCTGTTCTTACACAGTTTCCATACTTTTACCTTGACTGTACCCCCACTACTTTGCATTCCCATACCTCCAATCCTTTTCTTCCTTCCTTCCTACACCTCATTTATGAATATTTTGTATTTTATTTTTCCCCCATTAATAACCGAATCGCATTAACTGTGTAAACTCGAAACGTTTCTTCCTTGCACAA